TCATTGAGTTTTCAGAAAGATAAATGACTTTGAAAATGTGAGGTGATCCCCTGGGGATCATCAGGGGATCAGAAGAAATTGTGAATATCTAGTCTTGTATGGTAGTAACCTGGCATCCGTTATGCGCAAGTATCAGTGTATGAGAACCTTCAAAAGCAAGATAAAGAAAGAAGTAGAAAGGTATACAGATTAGCGAGATATGACGCTTCCCCTCTCAGATCCCCTCCCCTCCCCGCGGGGATGTAGTGCATACGGGCCTTAGTCAATGTAGGATTGCGGTTGGAATTTGGACTAATTTTGAGCTTCTGACAGGCGAGAAATGCTTGTAAAAAAATCCAAAAAACCGAAGGAGGTTAAATTGAGATTTTCGTGGATGCTGAATCTAATTACAAAGTTTCTCGCTACCGTCTCCTCATCTTACTACGGTATGCGCACTGTAACGCTAGATTTCTTTTTCCTTTTCAAAATTTACCAAATTAACGTTGCAATTACAAACACGTCGTCAAATGCCTTCGCGTTAGCGAAAGCGTTACAGTGCGCATAACGTAGGAAGATGAGGGGTACGGTAGCGGAAAACTTCTTAATTAGATTCAGCATCCCCCGAAAACCTCAGTTTAACGACGCCTTCGATTTTTTGGAATTTTTAGAAGCAGTTCTCGCCTGCCAGAATCTTAAAATTAGTTGAAAATTCCTGCCGTAATCCTACAGTAACTAAAAATCGGTGATTCGTTCTACACTGTAAATAAGTCAAACCCAGCTCTACCATATGACACTCAAAGATCCGCGAAAGCTTTCCATATAGGTAAGTTATAAAAAATCAAACGTTCGACACATTTTTTGGAACACCCTGTACAAGGTGACCATTGGTATAGCGCGTTAGTTTCTGGCCTAAGGCATACAATACCGCTCACATTTTTTGAAAAATAGACGCGAATGTAGCATAATTCATGTTACATGTCGCATGAGTTATGCTACATGTCGCATGAGTGATGCTACATGTCGCCTACATGTATGGACATCACCGTGGCGTGGCCATATCTCGCTTCAGAGTGGACAAATTCCGAATCCAAAGCCACCATTCGATTCAGCTCGGCGCGGAGAATTCTCTGGGTCGGTAGTAAACCTATCGAAACTCAGAGTTACAACTCAGAGTTAACTCTGAGTTATCTCTGAGCTAACGCGCATCTTTATGACCCCTTTAACAGGTGTTTGAACAGATCAAATCCGGAAAGGATGATATGGCAGGATTCTCCTTAACACGTAGTTTATTTCTAGTAACGCAATATTGTCCAAATCGTCCTGCACAAGAAACAGCGCCACCAAACGCGCAACTAGTGTCTGCGATAACTCGGAGTTTGGTCAGAGAAAGAGAAATAGTGCGCAAAAGAAGAGGGGCAGCTAAAAAGTCCTCCGGGGTACATTTTGCTCGTTGTTTAAGCAGGCATGATGGGGGTATCGTGGTGCGCAGTGATTTACAAAATTTTGAAATTTTGTAAAAACTTGGCTCAGGGGGTTATTCGGTGCGCTGGTCACGCATATGGTACCCATTTTTCACTATGGGGTCATATAGAGGTGTTACGGTAGGTTTACGGTAGATGGGAGAAAATCACGAAACTGATCGAAACTTGGTACACTGGGGTTATTCGGGGCGCCGATAACGAATATGACATGCAGATTATACTGTAGTGTCATCTGACGAGTTTACGGTAGATTTACGGTAGATGGGAGAAAATCACGAAACTGATCGAAACTTGGTACACTGGGGTTATTCGGGGCGCCGATAACGAATATGACATGCAGATTATACTGTGGTGTCATCTGACGAGGTTACGGTAGATTTACGGTAGATGGGAGAAAATCACGAAACTGATCGAAACTTGGTACACTGGGGTTATTCGGGATGCAGATTACGGACAATCTATCTGCTATACACTGGTGACATATGGAACGGTTACGGTATGTATACTGTAAGTAAGACGAAATCATGGAAGGGCAAACTTTGCCCGAGGATACAATCTGTGCGCAAATCCTAATAGTCAATTCTTATCATTGCGTATGCCATTCGCTTTACCTAAGGTTTGAAGCTTTCAGCTGCGCAAAAGACAATCCTCGTGATGAACCATCACTGCCCGATAGAAATGGAAATGAATGAGGTTTGGTATGACTTGTTTTGACCTGCTAAGTGATAATGGAATGAGTGAGTACATTATGGCAAAGCAATTTTAGACTTCATGGGTGTGTCATGGTCTAGCGGTCTAGTGATAGGATCTTTACGCTAGACCATACAGGTTCAAGTCCCTATTTTATCGTCGCTTTTGCAGCAAAGTGCTTAACAGCTCCTCAAAGCAAAACTCCGCGCTTGAGAGTTGGAATTTGGAATTACGAAAGCGGAACTCAGAGTTTCAAGCGTAACTCAGAGTTTTAAAAACGGAACTCAGAGTTATCTCTGAGTTAACGCGGAGCTTCAAACTCGGAGTTTCGACCAGATTACTACTGACCCTGATTTATTGGAGTGGGGGATACGATAGGCATACGGTAGGGAGTCACTTTACACGGGTCCGCTCGAAACTCAGAGGGCTTATTCGATATGCTCATTACAAAAAGTTATATTTATTTGTTGCAGTGGTAGTACACTGTAGAGTTACGATAAGTGTGCGGGAGAGTCGATTTGCCATGTATATGTTCGAAAATTTGTTCAGTGGGGCGATCAAATGCGCTGGTTATATTAAACTGACCCATTCGGCAATGGAGGCGATCACGGTAGGTGTATGGCAGTCTGCCAGTTTCGATGAATCTTTCCAAATTTCTGCCTGGGTTGTTGCATTAGCATGTAACCAGCGCACTGTGCAACCCAACCATTCGCGACAATTGGAAAATTTTAAACGATTTCCACAAAATAACACTCTTAGTATACCTACCGTATTTCTGCCTATGTCAACGTATGTAATCAGCGCACTGTGCAACCCAACCCAGGCAGAAATTTGGAAAGATTCGTTGAAACTGGCAGACTGCCATACACCTACCGTACTCGCCTCCATTGCCGAATGGGTCAGTTTAATATAATCAGCGCATTTGATGGCCCCACTGAGCAAATTTTCGAACATATACATGTGCAAATGGGCTCTCACCGTACACTTACCGTAACTCTACAGTGTACCACCGCTGCAACAAATAAATATTACTTTTTGTAATGAGCACATCAAATAAGCTTTCTATGCAGAGTTTCAGGCGTACCCGTGTAAAATAACTTTCTACTTATGCTTATCGTACTCCCGTTTTCAATATATCAGTAGAATCTCCGCGCCGAGCTGAATCGAATGGTGGCTTTAGATTCGGAATTCGTCTACTCTGAAACGAGATATGGCCGCGACGGTGATGTCCATACATGTAGGCGACATGTAGCACCACTCATGCGACATGTAGCATGAGCTATGCTACATTCGCGTCTGTTTTTCAAAAAATTTGAGCGGTATTGTACCTCACGCGATTCCAATCACTGCGCGATCTCGCTCTGCAACGATCCTTCGTGAATGATCGTAAGGGCGCTTTCCGAAAAACAGACTTGCTGCGTTTGCCACGATTTGCAAATCTGCGCTCCCATGCATTTCAGACCCGCGCATAGTAATCTGTAGACATCTAGCAAATCGCCAAGTCGCGTGAAGGTAGCGACTCCGCGAACTCGCAGGAGGTATGCCTTAGGCCTCACGCATTGGGATATTTTATGATTCACCCATTTCAAAAGCACAAATCGGCAGTGAAATTGTATACGAGCTCAAATTGTGAGCAGACGCATTTGCCTAACTTCGTTGACTAGCATAAACGTCCAATCCATTCCGCTTGTGATTGTTCCATGAAAGTGGTAGTAATATCAGCTTACATGACGAGATTGCTTTTAGACCCTTACTGAGTTAACAAGAAAGGGTGTGTCGAAATATACAATTCATCAGACTTTTTATGCCAAAATATCATTTCTACAAATTCATCACATAAGTAGTTAGTAGTAGAGATGGAAAAATGGTAGAATTTATCTGAACACTTCTAATGTCGCGAAGTAAAGAAAAACGATTCAAGTTTTTTATGGAGAGTAGTATACACCAAAAAGGTACAACTTCACGCACGAATTTATAGGTATTGTCAGCTTTTACTTTACAGTATTATAACACTTTTACACAACACTTTCCACCTATTGACCGTCGTTTCGCAATTGATTTTCTAGTCTTTCGCCTAAATTTCAGCATTTAAATAACTATCAATCTTGAGAAGTTTTTGAACTGTCATTTCTCGAATGATATTCTAGTCTTTTGCCCGGATTTAGCACTCAAATAATTTTTTTTGAAACTTGACGGTTTTGAATAATTTCTCAGTAATTTAACATTCAAATAAAGTTTTGAACCAAGAGAATGTTGCGTTCAGTCAGTTTCGATCAGTAGATACTTTATGATGATGGCATGGTTTTTTCCTTTCGTTTAAGCCTAATTTCATTTTCGTACGATCACTTTGAAGGTTTTTGGCTTAAAGCCAGCCCTGAAATTCAATTGAGACTTTCAGCATTCCTTGGCTAGGTTCCAAAGAGGCTCTCAGGGGGCGGGGCTTAGATTGTTGCTATGTCCTAGTGAGTAATCGGACACAGCGAGCATGACTGTAACCTACAGGCACTCCCCGAATCGAGCTAATTAGGCTCGGGTTCCTAAGTTCCGTCCCCCCTGTTGACCAAGCTTTTAAGCTGGAAAGCTTCAGAAGCCAGCTGCACTACATTTTCAGCAAGCAAGCTCTGCGGTATCTTCTGGATTACGTAAAGTTAGTTTCGCAGCATGTGGTAGCGGCTTTTGATCTCTAAATTATTTCAATGACTAGCGAATATTCACTACAACTTTTATAATGGCATTGAATCTATTGAGCTTCAATATTCAAGCTTCAATTTCACCTCCATATTATTATGCACAACAATTTGCACTAAAGCATTTATGTATTACGACATACAGAATCGCTTTTGTTATTTTACTCAATGTCACTCCCATTGCCTACGCCGATTCCAGTTCAAGTATAATATGGTCCAAATCACGCTCGTGATGTTCTGCACGTTTCATTGAAGAACCGGCAAGCATCTAAAGCATTGCTGTATTGAAGCACATGCGAAGCTGGGAATAGAAATACTTACAGCGCAAGTTTTGAAGTCTTCCGCGACATTCTTGACGGTTGCGATCAGCTCTTTCAACATTTTATATACGCTATCATCTTTCTCAGCTAAGCGACGTAGTCGGGTCCTGTCAGACTCAGTAGCCACCTAAATTTCTTCTTTATCAATTTGTTTGAGAACGACAGCGAATCTCTTCGCAGATCTTTATTTTTGAAACGCTCTTTTTGGTCCCAAAGTAACAGCGCAGATCTGCTCTTTTGAGCACAAAAAAACGTAGAAGGTTAAACTCAACTGTGGAAGCAAATTAAGACGGCTAAGCTTTGCTTAGCTGAGTAATTGTATCTTTGCTCATCTACTGTAAGATTTGGCTAGCTATGCTCCGGTATCCACATTTAGGCATATCACTTTAGAAAAGATATTACTGACATTTTCTGGAAGTGTAGCACCTTTTGACTCACATCTGGAATGTCTAAACCTAAAGTCAATGCTCGAGAATGCTTGAAGATTTTTGCAAAGCTAATTTGAACATTCAAAATTTTTGAGAATTATCTTCTTCTCCAGTCCGCTATGCTAATTGGAATAGTTATTGGACGGCAAAACTCATCAGACAATCACTTCTCAGATACCTAATACTTTTTTTCAGAGAATGCTTGATACAGTTTCTAATTAATAGTGACTATCGATCAATCTACCTAGAGGGCCGGGCACACCTTACGCGATTTCATCGCCTCGCGATTCTCCCAACAAGACAACTGTTAGGTATTCATTGCATGTTGGTCAACTTGCACTCAATTGTGATAATTAGTCGCGTTTCGTGTCGAAAACTATCACAACCGAAATGCAAGTTGATCAACATGTAATGAACTCGTAGCAATTGCCTTGTTGGGTGAATCGCGAGGCGATGAAGTCGCTTGATGCATGTCCGGCCCTTAATAATTTGATTAGATTGAAGTATACCACTGAGTACTCGCTGAGCCTAATTTGGAAACTGTAATACCTAAAATGACAGAAACAAGATCGTAGCTATCATAACTTATAATATGGGCTAAGGGTGTTTACGTGTGTGTGTGTGTGTGTGTGTGTGTGTGTGTGTGTGTGTGTGTGTGTGTGTGTGTGTGTGTTTACGTGTGTGTGTGTGTGTGTGTTTACGTGTGTGTGTGTGTGTGTGTGTGTGTGTGTGTGTGTGTGTGTGTGTGTGTGTGTGTGTGTGTGTGTGTGTGTGTGTGTGTGTGTGTGTGTGTGTGTGTGTGTGTGTGTGTGTGTGTGTGTGTGTGTGTGTGTGTGTGTGTGTGTGTGTGTGTGTGTGTGTGTGTGTGTGTGTCACGAAATTCGTAGAACGTGTTCCAGCCAACTCCTGAGCCCAAATTTTGCACAGCGTCTGCTACCAACATGGGAGTCTACTATTACAAGCACGAGCGGATCCGTTGTGTGGATCCTTCAAAAAATGCACGTCAATCGAAACTTAGCTTTTGGCCACTAAAATTGAGCATGTAGCACAACCTATTGCAAAGTCACGAATATGTTTGACAAGTTATTGTGCAAGCCATGCACTTTAGCCCAAAAAGTTGAACTAACGAGGGAATGGTTAAAGTTCGAAGTGGCCAATCCCAGAAAGCTGTACACCGTTGAACACTCCATGGAGGGCTGGGTGCATATCCGCTTTGATTATCATGCTTCCCGGTCTCCTACACAAAGTTGTGGCCCTCGATTCCACCGTAGGGCCTCCGCACATCATAAGTACTGCTCGCCCAGTTGGCAACGAAGGTGGAATCATAGCGCAGTGGTAAGTGTGCAGACTCATAGGACGAATTGACTTTTTGTTTGCAAGTTCGATTGCTTTTGCTTGCTACTATTTTTCAACCCGTTCCCAATATCTATATTGCTAGAGCAAATTCCCTAACGCGGTTAAAAAGATAATTCAACATCTAAAGACTTCGAAAACTTTATTTTTCTGTAATTTGAGAGTACGAGCCAATTCGGATAAAAAAACGCACTCAAGCCTTTTGACCGAAAGAATCTATCGCGTCAAAGCAAAAATCAGGTTTCTGTTTATCAGTTTCAGCTCTATCTTTCTTGCTGCTTGCTTCTGTTCGTTCTTGCATTTATATTCTTCAACATTTTTCTTGCTTTCACCATGATCATCAACTCTCAAGAGAGTTTGTACGATAAACAATAAAGCTTTCGAAGTCTTTAGATGTTGAACTATGTTTTTTTAACCATGGACTTCGCGCTAGCAATATAGATATTGGGAATGGGTTGCAAAAGAGTAGCAAACAAAAGGAATCGAACTCGCAAACAAAAAGCAGCTCGTCCTCTGACGTCTGCGCACTTACCACTGCGCTATGACTCCACCTTCGTCGCTAACTGGGCGAGCAGTACTTATGATGCGCGGAGGTCCTACGGTGGAATCAAGGGCACAACTTCGTGTAGGAGACGGGGAAGCAGATAATCAAAGCGGATATGTACCCAGCCCTCCATGGAGTGTTCAGCGGTATACAGCTTTCTGGGATTGGCCACTTCGAATTGTGACCATTCCCTTGTAAGGTTTATTACTTTGCGAAAACGGCGCCAAAAGGGATCGATTGCGTAAATGTTCAATTCGCCAAGATTTTACCCGATCGTTTGAGAAGACATTTGCACAAAGATGTAGCCCACGGTGATTGCTGTATCTTATGGCAAAAAACAAGGCATGAAAAATCCAGAAATCGATTCAAATTTGCGTTTTTCTTTTGGAAAAAGTTTCATTCACGCGAAGTCACCGATCTCTTATGGAAAAGCTTTTGGAATGAGTAGTTGTTTACAAATCATTCGAGATAGTCCGCATAGCGCGGTGAGTTTTGTCATTATTGTGCGGGAATGAGTAAGGTGTACAAATAGTAGGAGACCAGTGCGCCACCCCTGCGAAGCAGAGGTGACGCATGATGATTATATCATCTAATAGAATAGGTGAAATTTGCTATGAAGAGAAATATTTTGCAGTCAAAACACATTCACATTAAAAGGCCTAGGAACGACTATATTTAGTGAAAAGGACGATTGTATAGGTGATTCGTTGACCGCACGGACTAGACATCACTGCGGAGCAAGCGCCGCGAGGTAAAACACTTGCCTTAGTACAAAATTGTCATTGTATGTGTCGTGTCTCGCGACAATTCAGCCGCGCCGCGCGTGGTACGCAGCGTTTGAGCAGTCCGTGCCCTCAACGAGACAATAGCTTCAAAAACTACTTTTTTCCACTTTTACTTTAGAAACTGAAAAACTGTACCTGAGTTTCTTGTTTCTGCTTTAGATTTTCGAATCTTTCCAACAAATCCTGATACAACTTGCTCATCTCTTTCAGCGCTGCACCTTCGTTAATTTGCAAATCACTTGGCTCTTTGCTACGTTTTCTACGTTCTGCTGAGCCCATTTGAATTGTTGCTTTCCATCGATCACTATCTCCATTATCATATTTGGATCCTTTTCGTTGCCTTTTGACCTCAGTCTGTCGCTCTTCGGCGGCTTCTTCTTCTTGTTGTTTCTTTTCTCGTTTGAATATACTCTCTTGTTTCAAATCGTGTGCTTGTGGAGACGATGCGCCAGGTCTGTAAATATAGCCTGGTGTTTGCACAGTTCTATTGGCTAGAGAGCACCATGAAGCAGAAAAAAGTCTTGTTTTACCGTTCATGGTACGAATATCTTGCTGATTCTGTTCTTGTAGACCCCTCTCCACACTGAAATATCCAAAGTCGTGTTGCCTTTTCTTACTATGTATTACTTTCAGTAAAAATGTAGATACTACAAATAAAAGGGATATGACTTTCTACTGTATTCTATATTTCTTTCAAAATGACATTATCCTAAAGGTAAGTCTGTGACTGCCCGTGCCAGCGTCGTTCCGGCGCCGTTCCATTGCCGTGCTCGCGTCGTGCCATATAGCCCACGTAGCCGTACTTGCATACTGGTCAACATCCACTGGCACTTTAGATACAGCGCTAGCACGACTATCGCACGACGATTTGGCATGTCGGATTCTTACATCTCCAATCTTGCTCCAGGACAAGGCCCTCAAAACGCAATTCAATCAAACAACTTACCAGCCCCTGAGAAAAGACATCACGAGACATAGGGCAGCACCTCTCTGAGCTTCGTTCATACGTCCATCTCCTGAGCACCCGTCCATTTCGAGGATACTCGACTAGACGCATAGAAACTTGGTTCTGAATTTGAGCGTTTTGGATTGGTTGCTGAAAGGTCGAACCCTTTCTGACTTCATTCTTGCACGGCATCCTGCACAGTTCTGGCTATGTTGAAGATGTGGGGACTGTAACAGTGGAAGAGAAATGGAGGACCGCTTGCTACGCGGACAGTTGCTAAAGAAGTGAACACACAGCATGAAGAAAGCTTATATACGACCCTGAATAACAAATTTTGTCATTCTAATCATTATCTCTCCTTACCGGTCGTTGCAGTCAAATCTTAAGGAATGAGCATATGTGCTTGTCAGCGGAGATCTAGGAATCTGCGTAGACCCATACGTCTATCTGCATGGCTATCCGCAGCTTGAAGTGGCTATCCAAAGTCTTGGAAGAAAATTCAAGATGCGCAAAAAAGCCTATGATTCCAAATCTGGTTACAATGAAAATTTCTCAAAATCAATCTCAATGAATGAGCGAAAATGTTTACCAGTGATCATAGCGTAAGTTCACTTCCGCTCTACTTCTCACTATTCTAACAGAGCGGAAGCAACCGGAATTGTAATGGGTTTTAATGGTCTGGCTTACTTATGGATAAGATTTGCAAAATGCTCTAAAATTACATGAGATAACGGCAGGCTAGCCGGCGGAGCTCCTAAAAACTTTTTGCTTCTACGTGGTAGAATTCCTAAGAAGCGAAGCCTTTTCAAACACCTATGTGACTATAGGCGTCTTTGAACGCTGTTTCTAAATGTGCTCTCCTTTTCTGTGGAATATTAGGCCGTTTCAAAAATAATTTCGCTTTATTCAAACGGGCGCCACATGTGATGGAACAAAGATTTCTAAGAGATCTTGGAAGCATTCGATGCAGAATTTCATTCTCTTTCTAATGTTTATGAAATTGTTGCAAAACAGTCAATGAGCTTTCAGAAAATAACCAAAATCAGCGACCCATGCTTTCTGAGATGTTCAAGTTTCACGATTTCATAAAACTTTCATGTCAATCCTCAGAAGGAGTTCAAGTAACGATTCGATAGAGTAAACCTCATAGAGTACAACCTACTTTTTTCTCTTTCTCGTAGCTCGCCGTAATTTTTCAAAAGATCATTCAACAGAACCATCGGATTTTAGCAGGCGCACTTCAGCCGCAATCACATCAAACATCATGATTTTTCGGAATTTGAGACTACCAAGATGGTACTATGAGTTAGCATCAATTTTACAAAGTAAGTGAGGGTTTACGGGTTCGAAATATCAAATTTCGAGTTTTTCGGGTACAGCCTGGGGCTCGCAAAAAAAATGAGTTATGATAATTTTCCCCGGAAACTTAACGAATCGGAAACAAAAAGCACCTGTTAGAAAGAGGAGACAATGCTGCATCGAATAGTGCGCAAGCTGCTCTTCTGTTGATGTTCTGCGAGGATTTAGCTGTCCAAATATCGAAATCGGTAGCATCAGTTGAAATTCTGTTAAAATTGTATGACAAGCTATGGAAAGGAGAAAAACGTAGTTTTGCATTCTGTAGGATTTGCTTTATAAAGGCGTTACTTGCACTTTTTCGGAGGGTTATTATAAAATAAAAAATCGTGAAACTTGAACATCTCAGAAAGCATGAGTCACAGATTTTGGTTATTTTCTGAAAGCTCATTGACTATTTTGCAACAGTTTCATAACCATTAGAACGAGAATGAAATTCTGTATCGAATGCTTCCAATATCTCTTCAGAACCTTTGTTCCATCAAATGTGGCGCCCGTTTGAAACAAGCGAAATTACTTTTGAAACGACCTAATAATTCAGGGTAAAATTTGATTTTTGAAGTCCAATTGATCATGCTGGCGCCGTAGAACTAGCGAAAAGCTTCGCGAAAACAGCTGAAAGCAGGTAGTCAAATTTCTAACAAGTATATTGACTGCAACGAAGAAACACAGTTGACGGAAATGGGTATACGTATTTTTGTACAACTAATTTTATGCCATTGAAGGTTGACAAGTTTGAACAGTCAAACACTCATAACTTGTTTCGGAAAGGTGGTTTGCAGAAAAAGAAGAAAGATTTGGAATCATCGATCAGTGCTCTACAAAGTGACATAGATGTAACAAATGTAGACGGGTTATATTTATAGTCAGTACTATAACCGTCGAATACCACTTGATAATGCCACCAAAATATCAACTGCCACGCGGATCTTTAGAGTGACGGAGTTGTGCACGAGGAGATACCTCGAACTTGGGTAATTAAACCTTTATTAACAATTGAAATTTAAATAAACGATATTACACGCAAAATAAAATACCAGCTTAACATGAGATTCTGATTATGGCAAACATTAGGGATAAAATACTTGAAATGTTTTTGTCTACCTGAACCATAAGCAAGTAAAGGCACTAAGAATGTAAGTAAATATAAGACAACCAAATAAGATGAAGCAATGATAATCAAATGACACTTGAGTCAAGAACGAAAGGAGGAGGTCGCCAGCTGTGCTCCCCCCCCCCTTACTTTTTAATTGATGCTTGGCGCAGCTGCAGCCATACGAAGAAAAGACTTGCCGCGCACTCAACGTTTCAAAGGCAATCAAAAATGAATCATCAAACAGAAAATACAGAGAAAATATAGAAATTATTGGTCGAGTTTCTCGACACTTCGGGCCTGCTTGATGATCGTTCTCCTCCATCAATCGTCTCCTTCGCCTTTTCCTTATCTTCTGCTTCTGGCGTCTTCTTTTTCGGCTACGTTAAGAGCAGCAATCTCGGCCAAGCAACTGCCCAATAATGCTCATAGACGTCGTTGTAATTTAAACACTGTTCTGGCATTATCAGAAAGGGTGCGGGTGGCTGATGAGCCAATGACGCAAGATCGTCTTGAAGCCATCTCCTTGTTAAATCCACTTTGTCAGTATTCTTCGGTAGAACGATGGTTTCAGTGACGTCAAAATCGACTGACTCAGTTTCAGCTGGCGGTACTAGAGGCGGTAGAACGATCTCAACGGGTGAGGATGATGAAAATAAGTTGCCCTTTTCAGAGAATAGTATCGCAACATCTTAGAGAAGTTTCTCATGGAGCTTTTCTTTGATTTCTGACTGCAATAGGCAGAAAGGTCGGCATAGGAGGCGAAAAACAGTAGTATAAGCAGCATAATTCCTTTAAGAAAGCGGAATCCACAGCATACTCCTTGCAGTGAAAACAAGCGTAGGTGATTCCCAAAACGATTAGTAGCGCGATTACTGCTACTATCAGCGTCTTGTGCCATTGCAGGAAGACTTCCGCGATGTGCCAAAAATCTGGCCACTGAGTTTCTGCTGCTTGGTCTCCGTTCCCTGTCAGCCATTGTGTCATCATTCCATGAGCTGTTTGTGTGAATCTGAGAATACCGCCTACTTCAAAAGTTGTTACAATTGTTCCATAAGACACTGAGCATGTCATTTGCACTCTCGCTCGATCCAGGCTGAACTGAAGCTCCGAAAGCGCTCCTTGTTGGTCGCAGTCCACAGTGAAACTGGCAGACTCGCAGATGATTTCGGCTTGAGTTTGCTTTGGTGCCGTACACTTGACTGTAGCTTTTGCGCCCCTGGCGCATTTGTAGCAACCTGTAAGTATTGCATCCGCGATTGTGCAGACTGTGCTATCCACCACCACGTTTGTTCGTACATTTTCTTGGATGGTTACAATGATCTCCGCTGTCGTCAAACTCTGTACTTCAGCTTTTACTTGTCCTTCGTCATTCTGCTTGAATGAAACAGCTGGAAATTTTGCCGGCAGACCATTTCTGACGTCCCCAAACATCTCAGAGATGCTTACGTCTCGGCATTTGCAGTTGGCTTGGACTACCGCTGGAGCACATTGACAGTTGTCTATAACTGTGCAGTCCAGTTGTTCTGCTGTAGTTTTGTTGGTGCACCAAAGGGGTGGTTTCATCACGGAATTCCAGAGTGCCGTGTTGTTCCCATCGGTGATGAAAGCTGTGTTTAGCAGCGGGATTGTTGGGATGTACCGAGGTTAATGTGAGAGTGAACGCATTCCAGATGATGGGTACATTGGGGACCATGATTCCAGTGAATATGCGTGTCACTCCTTGTACTGCATCAAATCTGTAAACTTGACTTTGGCCGCCAGCGTCCAGCGATTGCAGTGGAAAATTTCGAACACTTGTGGGGATATTGGGGTGAGGTAGATGCGATAGAAAAGGCAGCCTGAGCTCCAATAGGAACAATCGCACCTTGGTCCTCCGCAGGATTCGACACAGGCCGTGATTCCTGGATAGTGATTCCCCTTCTCTAGCTCCGATATAAGGCTTGTGGCGTTTATCGACGCGCATTTATTTCCTACGCAGGAGCCTGTAGCGGGCATCTTTTGCTGTCCACCACATTGTAGATCGTGTCTCGAGCGTACATTTCGTGCTCTTGTTCGCAGGTAAGACTTAGCAGTTTCCATGATGCCCTAACTTCATGAATAGTCAAGTTGTTCCTTGTTAGTCTGAAACATGCCTCTCTTTTGGAAGGGTTGATTTTGAGGACTTCCAACACGTGAACCTCGCAGGTCTCGGTTCCATTTGCCTTTGTGCACACATAGACTTGTGCGAGAACAGATTCACTTGTTGACATCCTTCTGCTGTATTGACTGTCATGTTCATCACTGCGACAATAGCTAGCAGTTCTATAAGTTCCGCTGCTCGGATTTGCTGTCGTCTTCGTGCTCGTTGTAAAGGTCGGCAACCTCTGCGAATAACGCTCTTGATGCTGTTCCACAAAAGGCGTAATGCGATCCGACATGGCTTTCCGAGCGTGAGCGGCACATAACAGAATACGTAGCATCCAGTTATGAAGAAGTAGATGACTATGGTAGTCGCTACGATAGCTCCAACAGGCCAACACTCAGGATAGAAAATGACCGCTGAACAGAGTATGCAATCGATCTGGTCGCAAAACGGAGTTGGCGGGCAGGTAGTTTCTATTATCCTGATTGTTTCATTGTACAGAAGTTCCCTTTGCACGAACTGTTCATAGAGGGTTATCTGTGGCGGAAAATGGATAGTTCCATTTGTCTTCGGCGCCGAAATTGATTTGCAATAGTCTTCCGCACAGACTTCATATGGGACAGTCTCCATGGAAAGCAACTCAACTCCTCCTGGAATGCATTTAATTGAATGTGTTTTCTTCGCTTGTACCTTTGCCAGAGCATTCACATTTCCGCAAAGTGCACTCAGAAGACAGATCAGTAGGAGCACGTTCGTCTGGAAGTGTCTCAGTTGTATGGACATCGCGTTTATTCCTTTGTAATCCACTCTCCGGTTAGGTCGCAGATCATATCGCGTGGTCTGTGCTTCCTCCAGTTGATTGTTACTGTCGGTGCTCGCGGTAGCGGGTTCTTGCGCTTGTTGATCTCCCTCTTCTAATTCTAGTGGTACAAGAAGGTTAAGAGGCCGGCGGATCCTTCTTTGAGATGAAAGTTTCACCAGAGCTTCTCTTATAACTCCTTCGGTGTTTTTGACAAGTTCTTCTATTCGTTCGACTTTCCAGGCATGTCTTGGCTGGACTGGATCACACAGCAAGACAACTTCGTCTACCTTCGGAGTATAGTTCGAACTTCTTTGGCTTCCTACTTGGCGTTGATGTTTCTCTCGGAGAGCCGTCAAGTAGTGATTTCGCCACAGCTGCCAAAATTTCTCGGTCAGTTTGCAGGAAGATTGCAAAGCTTGAACTGCTTAAGCCTTTGTACGAAGCAAGGCTTTTTCTGCTGGTGGCAAGTAAGATGGATCCTCTCCTTCATCATTTACCGCATCCAATGGATAGGATATCCTCATCTCATTTTGTAAGAAGTCAATCGGCCTCAATATCCTTTCATTTGCGAAATCCGATTCCACGTATAACAGGGGTCTTGTGTTCAGGATCGCTTCGATTTCGATGGTAACCGTAGTCAGCTCTTCAAAGCTTAACACGCCTTTGCCCAGAGTTTTGTAGAGCGTTTGCTTTACGGATTTTATCAGACGTTCGTAGAAGCCTCCTTGCCACGGTGTGTATGGAGTGTTGTAATGCCACTCAATTTCTCTGTCGAGTACTTCACGCTCAATAGCGGGATCGCTTTCGGCTGCTTGAATCGCTTCTTTGAGTATAGTTTCTCCTAGCATGAACGTGGGAGCGTTATCACTTGTAATTGATCGTGGAACTCCCCGTCTTGCAAAGAAGCGCCGCAACATCCAGAGGAAGGCTGTTGTTGACATGTCGGAGACTATGTTCAAGTGGATCAATCTTGTGGTCATACACGTGATTATGCTTCCGTAGCATTTACCCTCTGTTCCGTCAGGCAGTGCAATTGGCAAGGGTCCGTAGTAGTCCAATCCGACATGCTCAAACGGTCTGGATTTCTGCACTCGTCTTGCCGGAAGATCCGTTTGCTCTGGATACTTGTAAGGCAGATTGTTGAACTTTTGGCATGGTACACATCGCCTCACAAACCGCGTGACCTGTGCTCGCAGTTTTGGTATCCAATACTGTCGACGTATGTTCGCCATAGTATGGCTTACGGATAGATGTCCTTTGCCGTGGCAGTCGTCGATGATTCTTTCCGCAAACATCGAGTTTTGTAGGATGATCAACGGAATTTTGGCTTCATCATCTAGCTCGCTGTTTCCCAGTCGTCCATAACATCGAAGGAGGCCTTCGGCATCTTTTTTTGATATTTAGTTGCTGCATGGAGTTAATGACTTTTGAGGTTATTTGCTGTTGATGAAGTCTGATGAGCAGCTTTCCTGCGATGAGTATCTCCTTTCCGTTTAGCCTTGTTCCCACAGCGTTACTCGGTACGGAAAGTAGCGTAGATAATGATATGGGTAACTGGTTGTTGGCACTTGCCTGGCCTACGACATTTCTGACGAAACGGAGAATCCAGGCTACAATGCGCTTTGTTTGCTGCCATGTGCGTCGCTGCAACAAGGATAACACAGCCGAATCTTCTTCGCTTTGGCAATATTCGATTGTCCTGAAGGCCAGAACTTGTTTTTCCTTCACTAGAATTTCCTCTCCTTCGTTGACGGTGCTTTTCATTGTGACGTGCCAATCACTTTGTGACCATTGCTGCTGTGGAATTTGGAGGAATTTCGGACCTGTCCACCACATGTGGTTTTGTAGTTCTTCGAGATTCAGTCCTCTTGTGCCTGCGTCTGCCGGATTTTCTTCGGACGTGACGTAGTTGAAATGATTTGTGTATCCCTGGTCATTGAGATGCTTCAAGATCTTGTTTATCTCGAGCAGCCTTCGGAATACCATTGCTCCAACGTCCTTCAACGGGTTCTTTTTTATCCAGCTTAGCACGATCTCTGAGTCAGAGAATACGAAGAAGACTTGATTGACTTGTAGCACGGACCGTAATTGTGCTAAGATTGAGTTCGTTATTCGTAACGCCAATGTCACTGCGTCCAATTCTCGTTTCGGTATAGTCGATTTTCCTTTGAGTGAAGGAAGTTTCCCTTTTGCCATCAAAAGATGCGTGAAATTGGATCCTAGTCGCAAGTAACTGCATGCTGCGATTTCCTCGCTTGCGTCCGCGAACGTTATGAGAATAGCATCCATCATTCTTGTACAGATGAAGCGTGGCAGAGTTCTCGTAAAACCATGCATGGTTTTGCAAATCTTCTTCCATTTCTTGTGGAGGTCAGGAGGCAAAGGCGTATCCCAATCACAATTTCTCTGCCACAGTTCTCGCAAGAAAAGCTTTGCTTTGTGCATTAAAGGAAGCATCCATCCCATCGGGTCGTAAACTGAAGCAATCATGCTGGCTACATTTCTTTTAGATACTTCCGAATGATCTTCCATTGCACATGAGACTTCTATGGTGTCTTCGCGAGGACTTTCGGCTTGGTTTCCGAAGATGCGTCTTTCGTGTCGAATTTTGATGCGACGTTAACATTGTTGGTCACGTACTCACAGAGATTCATCTTCAGATCGTTGAATATCTGTTTGGTTCGATGGTAAATATGATTCGCCTGTTCTTCGGTGTCAGCCGTCATCATCAGATTATCGACGTACATATTTTCTTTGACCTCCGTTGTGAGAGGCAGGTTTCCGGGATATTGATCGAGGTGAAAATGTGTCGTCGCTGCTAGTAAAAAGGGTGACGTGACGAGGCCGAAGGTGACACGTGTGAAGCGGAGAGTCTTGATATTTTCGGGGGTAGGTGGAGATCTGTGGTTCCGTAGCCATAGGCATCTGGTCGCATCTCTATCAGCTTCATGAAGCCGTACTTGTAGAAATGCTTTCTCCACGTCCGAAATCATTGCGATTTTTCCTATTCGGAAACGTAACGAGATGCCATACAGTTGTGGAAGTATGACTGGCCCTCTGTGCAACACATCGTCCAGCGAGGGTGAGGCTTTATAGTGCGCTGAAGCGTCGAACACGATTCGCAGTTTGGTAGTCGTCTTTTGCGGGGCAATCACTGCCTGGTGGGGGACATAATGAATGTGTTCTCCCAAAGCGACGGAGTCTTCTAGTATTTCTTCCAGTATGTTTGCTTTGAGTCGTTTTTCGAAGACTTCGTTGTACTGTTCCAGCAGTTTTTCGTCCTTCCGCAAAGTGTTCCAAACGCTTTCTAGTCTTCGCAGTGCGATGGCCTTGTTGTCAGGGAGCTCAAATGGTATTGACTTCCACGGTAAGCGCACGTAGTAACCATCTTCTCTTTTTTCGATGGTTTCTTTAAATTGGTTCCAGGCCTGCTGATCGATTTTTTCCTGCGCTACTTTTCCAGAGCTCATGAATTCCTCCGTTCCTGCGAACTCCATGACGAGATACTTCTCAAAAGAGTCTTCATCCTCGCCTGCTTGTATCATAGGCGTCTGCACCGTTAATATGCTGATTTTGCCATCCATTGTGCACGCAGCTTCCCACTTTGCCGTCTCGTCCTTCTGAAGTGACTTTGCTTGGGGCTTTGTGACAGTGCCTGTGATCAAGTTTCCTAGACGGGTAGAGAGTAGGGAAAGTCCTGATGGCAGGCAGACGCTTGGCTGATTCCCCTTGATCAATGGCCACAACTGATCGCAACCTAATAAAATTCGTGGTTGTATTGTAGTGTTGTTCTGCCAATCCGCCATCAGAATGTTCTGCGCTTTCATGTATTCCAGGTCTTCTTTTCTGTAGGGAGCACGGTCTAGTGGCGCGGTTAGTACTTCATGGGTGAAGAGCTTCAGATCAAGAGTGTGTCCTTCTGAGTCCCATCCTTGGAGGAGCACGCGCCTGCATAGGTTTTCCTTCACTTTTTCTGTGCCAAAGGTGTGAATCGGGAGCCTCGTAGTCTCGATTGTGGGAAGTTCCAGTTCTTCCGCCAAAGAGCTTTCAATGAAAGACACCTCTGGTCCGCTGTCCAGAAGCACTCCAACCTTTTTCAGCGTTTTCGTCGAGGGATTCATCACTTAAGTATTCCTGCAGGAGGGCGTTTACCTTTCTTGTTTCTTTATGCGTTGGATGTCGTTCCGTATCTCGGGCTTTGGGTTTTTCCCCTTCGCTCAACGGTGGACTTGTCTTCCTTGACGCTCCTTGGTCTGCCGTAGTATTACCTCTGAAGCAGCGTGATGTGTGGTGTGGTCCTCCACACCTGAAGCACATCCGCTTTTTGCAATTAGCAGTTGTATGCTGTGCTGAGACGCAGATGAGACAGAGCTTGTTCTCACGTAGGTAGTTGGAGCGTTCTTGTGGAGTACTGTATCTTCTGCAATCCGCTGACTTGTGGCTTTCCTCACAATACATGCAAGTCCCTAAGTACGTTTTTGTTCGGTCTTTTCTCCGGCTTGGTAGGTGTTATGTCCGGCTTGGCGTTCTTCATGTATACCGCAAGCATTTCGTCTGTAGAGATTTCTTCCTCAAGATACTGTATAAGCAGATCGAGGTTGAAGCTGACTCCAGAGTTCTTTGCGGCTTGTTTACGTACTAGTACTTTGCGCTGTACCGTATCTGGGAATTTCGTCAGAACTTGCTGGTACATCCACTGGTTGTCCACTTGTACTTCTTTCTGTCGCAGCTGCATGATGATGACTTGCAGCCGCTCGAAGAGTGTTCGCTGGTCACGAATGGATGCCGAGTGCAGGTGGCACTTCCCGAGTTTTTCAATGAGATGCGTGACGAGTTCGTCGCGATCACCGTACTTGTGTTGAAGAAACTCGATGGCTTTTGAAAAATTTCCTTTAGCGACTTGGAACTTCTTGATTAGTGCGAGAGCATCTCCTCGAAGAGCTTGCAGTAAATAATTGATTTTGCACAACTCCGGTATATTTCTTGAATGGACATTCTCGTTGAACAATTCCCGGAAATTGTCCCACTCCCATATGTTTCCTTGAAATGTAGGTACAGGAAGTGTGGAAAGGTCCAATCTTTCATGCTGAGGCAGTGATGTCGTTTGTATTTGGACTGATCCACTGTGTTGGTTGTGCTCTGGCTCTGCTTTAACCATAATGAAAGCGTGAACCCTTGCCTTCAGCACTAGTGAGTAATCCGTGGCCGAAATGAGCGCTTTTTCCGCTTTTGCTGAGTATTCCTCAAAGTCTTGTTTGTCCTTTTCCGTCGGATAGTCCAGCTCCGTAAATTTGGTAGCAAATTCCGTCATTGTTTGTTTGATGTTGTGCGTCACTGCATCTAAAGCTCCTATTGCTTCGCTGAGTCGCTGGAGATTTTCCCTTGTGTAATGAGAAGCTGATTCGTCTTGCGCTGCGGCTACGTTAAGGGTCTCAAGTTCCTCTCCCTTGAATCTTGAGATGATAGTGTCCAGCTTGTTGCAATAGTGAGTCAAAAGGCGTTTGTCCGTGATCAAATGTGCAGCCATAATCAATTGCAGTGGCCAAGAATGCTTCAGGACAGACACGACAAGTTTTCAGACTTCAGTAGATATGATACTTGAGGAGTGGTCAGTCTTGTGCGGAAAATTCTTCAATTTGTCGATATTGATGTGACAAGAGCGGATCAGGCAAAAACTCTTGTGTTGTTCCGAGATTTAAAGACAGCAAACTAGAGCGGATACAGCAAAAGCTCTAGTGTGTTGTTCCAGAATGTCCACAACGACTCAATTGTTGTACTTCACTGACCTGAATCCGTGTAGTCGATGCACCATGTAACAAATGTAGACGGGTTACATATATAGTCAGTACTATAACCGTCGAATACCACTTGATAATGCCACCAAAATATCAACTGCCACGCGGATCTTTAGAGTGACGGAGTTGTGCACGAGGAGATACCTCGAACTTGGGTAATTAAACCTTTATTAACAATTGAAATTTGAATAAACGATATTACACGCAAAATAAAATACCAGCTTAACATGAGATTCTGATTATGGCAAACATTAGGGATAAAATACTTGAAATGTTTTTGTCTACCTGAACCATAAGCAAGTAAAGGCACTAAGAATGTAAGTAAATATAAGACAACCAAATAAGATGAAGCAATGATAATCAAATGACACTTGAGTCAAGAACGAAACTAGGAGGTCGCCAGCTGTGCCCCCCCCCCTTACTTTTTAATTGATGCTTGGCGCAGCTGCAGCCATACGAAGAAAAGACTTGCCGCGCACTCAACGTTTCAAAGGCAATCAAAAATGAATCATCAAACAGAAAATACAGAGAAAATATAGAAATTATTGGTCGAGTTTCTCGACAATAGATGTCATGCCTAAAGGCCACTTCGACTAAGAAGGTTTCCCTTGTAAGCATTTTCGATAGTTATCGTCACGGAACCAACTCGTTGTAACTCTTCAGCAAGGAATTGCGCAACGAAAGTGCATCTTGGATATTTTGTGCATTGCTGTAGCAACGGAAACCGAATATTCGAGCCTTTTACCAATAAAATCATAGTTTTCAAATTCTGTCTTCGTCATCAAATTCCTCAATAAAAATTATTTGGTTTCCTACCCTTTTTCAGTTCCAGCGATAGCGATCACTGGGTGGATCACTGCGGCAATCCATGCTTTTGAAATGCTCAATGGAAGAAGTTGCATTAAAGCAGTGGCTATATCCAAATATTAGGTTGGCACATAAGTAATGCAACTTTTTATATAACTTTTGTCTATTTGTACGTAGCGCATTCATTTTTTGGCAATATAAGGAACATGATGTAAGCTTCTAGTGCACACATTTTTGCCGAATTTTACCACCTTATGTGAGGATTACAGTAGGTTTACGGTACTATGGGAAAAATTTTAAAATGCATTAGATTTTGCTGAAACTTGGCCTATAGGGCTTATTTGACATGCTGATCACAAAAATGAGATCCGTTCCGCATGAAAAGGCCTCGTTCGCGAGATCAAAAAAGTAAATTTCATTTTAGCGACAAATGAATATGATTTTCGTGTTTACCGCGCAGGATTACCCTATGGTGCAAAGTTATAGCGAACTCTGACTTTTCGCAGCTTAGTTATTGACAAATTGCCTTCAAGACTTGACGCATTTGACTTGTTCAACTTCTCAAAGGAGCCCCACCTTAATTTGTGTTTAAATTTCATTTCTTTTTCACTGATTTCAATGTGCCAGCTTCCAGCTACATGCTGCCTATAATTGCTTTTCATAGGTTTGAATCAGGTTTCGTAGGGCTTCATGTTTGCCAAAAAATCGTGAAACCTCAATTTTCAGCAGTTTCCAAAAAATGCTTAGATTTTTTGTACTACGTTATCAAAAATCAAACGGTTTGCGCAAACTTGCAGCTTACATCACGATCTACATGATGCCACAAAATGAGATTGCTACATAAAATAGGAAAAAAAGTTACGGGAGAAGTTGCAAAACTTATGTGCCAACCTAATATTTACTTTTTTGCGCCAAAATTATCGGTAATTGAATTTCAAGCTAATGAGCTATTCTGAAGACTTTCTCTGCCAATAGCGTAATTTTTGTGAGAATTCTAACCTATTTTCTAGCTCTTAAAAGAGTCTAGACTACTGTTGCATGTCAAGTACAGAGTTATTAGTAAAATAAAACATGCTCGAAAATTTTGAGTTGGATATCACAGACAATACTGCCAAGGCCAAAGTAGTACTAATGTAAAATAATTTAATTTTTTGCAAGATCTATTCTTCTCTAAAAAATTGGCGATGAAAGCAAGACGTGGAGTCTTCAGCATTCTACAAACAGGCTCCACTTTTAGTGCGGAACCTGTATCTCACAAAATCTGAAAAGGAGATTTTTGATCAATTTCGCAACATATTGCAGAGCCCAATATTGATCATGCTGCAACTTATATATCATGTGTTCAGGAACCAAGTAAGGATCACATTATTTAGTTTATTTAATAAAGCATTAGAACTGCGGATAGCAATTTTGGAAAGTATCATTTGTAGAGGTAGAGGAGGACGGATTCACATCGACATCTGTGCAGTAGGTACATGACAAAAAGCCGCAGGTGAACGTGGGCTCGACGCATGTAAAATCCAAATTCTTTATTGGCTAAAAATGTGTTTCATACTACAAGCGTAATAAACGTTCTGTAAAAGTTGGTATGAAAAAATTTGCACTTGCCGGAGAAGGAGGAGCAGGCGGTGCTGGCGGATTTGGATCCGAATCCGATTCTGATTGGTGGTGTCTTCCAAGAATTTTGTCTCTGTAGAAGGAACAAAATTTCAGAAAAAGATTACTCGTCTGCAACTCGGAACCTACGTAAGACCTTTGAGTTTCGACCTCAGTCCTCTTTTACTGCGATTGAGAATTTCAAGGGCATCTAGAATACTTGCATCGATGCAGATCATTTTGTCGATTGGTGAAATCGATGTGATTTCACCAGTGCTGAAACATTGAAAGTCAATTTAAAGGTCCCAGTTTTCATCTGATAGACAAATCAAAAATCTTTGAGAAATCTGGCATATTTCTAACGTCAAGAGCTTTGAAAATGTTCCAGTCATGACCTACAATTGAGCCCCTGACTCGGGTGGAGAAAACAGTCTGCATCTTGATCTTGAGAAATTCGGCTTAATAGCTTGTTCGAAATGACTTTTACGTGATCGGGTTCTAATATTTGGAAAGAAATTTCACAAGAATCCGAACAGTTATCAAAAGTCAGAATTTACTTCCATAAAAAGGGATTACCTCGACGGAAAGATTGAGAAGAAACCGTTGCATGGTCATGATCTGATAAAATTTGCTTTTTTCTGTTCGTAGTGCAATTTTGGGAGCCACAACAAATGATTAATGAAACATGAAAATCAAAAAAGGGAACAACTATTTGAACGAAAATGGGGGGAGTGATACGATTTCGTCATGATCTTTTCGTCGTGAATCCAATGAAAATCCTTTATATAAAGGTAGGTTCTGAACTTTGATGATTTATCGAACCTGTAAGATTTTCTGTTCATATGTCAAAAACGGATCGTGAAAATCTTTTTGAACAAAGTTATGGAGCTTCGTCAAAAAGTAATGGCCGCAATCCGTCTTTTACACCCAAGTTAGTGGCTTAATTGTAAGCTCTCTATTATGCAGGATTCTTGTAAGTGTTGTAATCCATGAGCATTGCGCTCTATTATTATTACATTTATCTGTGATAAAGTCAAAAAGTCGAATGACTTCGTAAAATAAAGAAAAACATCAAAAATGATTTTGGTGAGAACTATATAATTTTTACGAAGCAAAATTTCAAAAGAACCAAAAAAACCATGCGCCGACAATTTTTCCCAATCAATGCAGGAAAACATAGTTGCTTTTTTGAGAAAAACAATTCAAGTAAATCGTGTCTTACTTTGAAAAATTACCGGTTTTTCGGAGCAGAACTTTTTGAATCAACGTAATAAAAAGTCTTGCCATTAACTTTCAAACTGCAAACTCTTCATATTAGGTCGTCCCGAAAGTTTTGTCGGTTTTTTCAGACCACTATAAGACCATGCACAATGAAGATCTGAATGAGCTTCAGCACGTTTTCGATGCAGCTTTTCCTTCTCTTTCTTATGGTTACATTTTCGAACCATAATCTTATATATAAAGCTGAATGTCTGTTTGTATGTATGTATGTATGTCTGTATGTATGTCTGTATGTATGTCTGTACGTATGTTCCGAATAGAAAATTCCATTTCTGAACCGATCCGGACCAAACTTGGCACACATACACTACGGGCCCCGGCGGGTGTCAAAGGCTACTTTTCGTCATCGATCGATATCGATTTTATCGATTTTTATCGATTTTTTTGCTGAGTTCACCTACGGGGCTGGGAGTTGGCACAGGGGGGTAATCGAGCATGCAGATTCCGAATACAATATTGGTTTTCAGGATTATCGATTACTTTTATCGATTTTATCGATTTTTTTGCAAAGTTTGAGCTACGGGGCTGGGAGTTTGCACAGGGGGGTAATCGAGCATGCAGATTCCGAATACAATATTGGTTTTCAGGATTATCGATTACTTTTATCGATTTTATCGATTTTTTTGCAAAGTTTGAGCTAGGGGGCTGGGAGTTGGCACAGGGGGGTAATCGAGCATGCTGATCACCCCCAAGGGGGGTGATCAGCATGCTCGATTACACCCCCTGCCAAATTACAGCCCCCTAGCTCAAATTTTCAAAAAATCGATAAAATCGATGAAAGTAATGGACGATCTTGAAAACTAATATTGTATTCGTAATCTGCATGCTCGATTACCCCCCTGTGCAAACTCCCAGCCCCGCAGGTCAAACTTTACAAAAAAAATCGATAAAATCAATAAAAGTAATCGATAATTCTGAAAACTAATATTGTATTCGGAATCCCCATGCTCACTTCCCCCCTGTGCCAACTCCTAGCCCTGTAGGTGAACTCTGGAAAAAAATCGATAAAAATCGGTAAAATCGACATCGATCGATAACGAAAAGTGGACTGTGACACCCGCCGGGGCCCGAAGTGTATGTGTGCCAAGTTTGGTCCGGATACGGCGGAGCCGGGTAAGCCAGCTAGTCCTGTATATTTACTTTGATAATTGCTGAAATTTGTCACCCGTCATTTTTGTCTGCTCAAAGTTCGGCGAATTTTTGAAAATTTCATTTCAAAGTTTCGGAAAGGATTAAGTAAGGATTAAATAGAGCAATCCTCGGACTACAAGTTGATATTTTTAGATTTCACTAAGCTGCTGATTTTCGCTTCAGAAAATTATTTCTTCGGAGGTCTCGATTTTTAACAAAGTCATGAAACACGCAACTGCAGCAAAAACATGAAAACTTCGATCTTTCTGGGAATTGCAACATAATTCTTATTGAACACTATTTATGCAACATTACCCAGTTTGACTTGCTTCGAAAAAGCGGTTTTTTGGAATTTTCGGTACTTTTACGTGGCAAACGTAATCAAAAAGCCGCGGTTTTTATAGAAAAAATAATTATAACGGACTAGGTATACATGACCCACGTAATCTAAAATGAGCACAATGTAGCCAAAGCTGTGCTCTATCTAAAAGTAACCAGCGCTCCTTAGAAGTGTCAGGATAGGAATTTTTAAAATTCAGGAAAGGTTTGACGTTACTGTTGAGCTGCTCAAAAAGCCATGACGATAACATTGCAAAGACAGGATAGGTCAGAGAGCAAATATAGCTGTAAGAAAGAGGATGAAAATCTGAATCAAATGGTACCAAGAGCGTTTATGGACTGGTGCTCTGTGAGTTTTAGTGGGCGATGAAAGAAACCGACAAAACTTTCGGGACAACCTAATATAACCAGAACTAAAGCCAAATTCTACTTACCCCTTTGGTTTCAGTGTTATACGTAGAGTGCCGTTCATTATTCTCCAATCCAGTTCGTGATTGTTGATGCCCATATCGATAAGTTTCTGTTTCAGTTTTTGCAAACGAGGATTGGCCTTGTCTTCTATCGCATGAATCAACTCAAAAAAATATCGGTAAAGGTTACAGAATGAAATCTAAAGCCACCTACCTTATTGGGCACTTCGCTATCGACTTTCGAATTGACAGCTTTCTCCACTTTGCTTCGTAGAAAGTTCAATCGCCGAAGATGGTGTGTGAAGTCTACTCTAACATTTGAGTCCATTGTGACGGTTGGAATGAATTTGAAATCGTCCCACGCTAGGTTTACGTCGAGGTTCGCATGTTCAGACTTTGCCCTGGGTTTGGAATCCGCATATTTGATGCCTCACAATGAAACCCCCAGAAGATATTTGGGGAGTTTGATTATGGCTGAAACCTACGTTATGTCACCACTCATGCGAGCAATGCGTACCCATTTTCCAAACACTTTCTTTCCTATCTCCACTCTTCCATGTATTCTTGCTTGAAATTGTACTCCTTTTACCTAAAGAAATTTTTCTTTACATTTGATACTCCCCCCCCTCGGAATCGATAGCTGATCACCCACCGACAAGTAGACCCCGTTATTAACATCTTGAAATGAGACTCCATTTGCTGGGACACTGAATTGCTCAACTCTGCCGTCCCAAACTCTGTATTTAACTAAATGTTCCTAAAAAACAACATGGCACTGTGGATTTTTTTCATCTTTTTATGCCATTTTTCAACGTTGTAGCAATCGCATGTGTATAGGCTAGATCAAAAATAATAAAATAAAATAGAAGATGAAATAGATTTAAGAATAACTCGCTAGGAAGAGCAGTCTTGTTAACATTTTTTCGCTCTAAATGAAAATTCCAGAACTTCGGCAAAGTCTATACTTGGAACAAATGCAGAAGGAACGAAGCCAAACCACTGAGCCATTTTCGTCGTAAACCATGAATCACATTAATTTAAGTGCAGTTTTTAACAGAAAAAGAAATTTCTACTATTTTCTTCCATTTTCAAGAGTTTCCTCATTCTTCTTTTTTTTTCAGATTTTTGTGCAATGTAATCTCAAGCTGTTCGTTAACGCAAACTACAATTCCACCAATATCTTTTCGAAACTTCTTCTGTTAAAAAAATTACCAAGCTTCACAAGATTTTAAAAGCAAAGGAAAAACTTTTTCGAAAAGATTATTGATGATTTTTTTCAGGTGAAACAAAACTTAGTCTAACCTAATAAACTTGAGTTAAAGTTGCAAAAATCCTTAGATGGGATTCAGCCAAAAATTTTACCACAGCATCATATTTCTTCCTTGAAAGAATGGAGAGTTGCGTAAACGTTTAGCAAGAAATTCTAAATGGATTTTACCTAGTAAGAAGGCACTGGAACCTGATTTTTATAGCCGTGGCTTGCAAACTTTTTTTTCAGATTCAACAAATTTCATATACCGTGCTTTCTATGTCAGCTGACTTTTTGACACACAAAGGCAATTTACCTCTAAGGTTGGGAGGAACTTTTCTGTTACTTAGAAAAAATCTAATACTAGTGAAGGTAAGAGAAAAACCCGATTTTATAGCTATAAAAAAGACAATCTAGATTAAAAAGCTCTATTATTGGTAATTAGTACTCTGACAAATCTCTCAAAACTAATAATCGCTGACCCTAAAATCTTGCTTTATTTGTCGAATATAACCATGACTCATGCTTAGATAAAAACTTAGTTTATTCAGCATCCCCCATTGTTACCACAAGACTTACCTTTCCTTCAAGCTCTGGGAATGTGATAGAAGAGACTGCAGCATTTATTATATGCGCTTTGGTTTCTAGAAGGTTCCAGATTTTCGGTGTTATGGTGACAGCCAATGGCTCATTTATGTTAATTGTAGCAGAGCTGAAAAAGTTTAGTTTTGACAGTCAGAGGAGAACTATTCATGCAAACTGGACGAAAAATCTATTGATGAATGAAGAGTATAGGTCAGCTAGACGAATGCTTCGCGTCTGCGATTGAAACACTACAGCAAAAACTTTAAAATCAAGTTGGATCAAAATTAATTGAAAAAAAACTATTTTAGTTTTTACTTGATTTTCATAAATTTTGCTGGAGCAACGTTATGTGGTTTTTTCAAAAGACCCTACATGTAATAAGTTCATATCGATCTCAAGATTCCAAAGCATTATTCTCTTCTTGATGCATCGACCAACTCTGTGTGTTTCCGTAGGAATGGAGCTTTGCAGCTAAAAGACGCACATAGGAGTATTTTCATAAGTCGGTGAAAACGCTACTGAAATTTTTTCTCAATTTTGGTAGCTTTAGCGATCAATCAAGTGCGATCAGTTTTGCTTTTGGTTCTATGAGCTACCCTTTTGAGCCTAAGAATGTTGTGGCGAGCAGATATGTCCAAGGACCGTTATAATCGTCGAATTTCTCTTTTTTATCTGTACTCTTGGAATAAAGTCTATTCATATATAATTACTAGACCACTACTAGACGACTCACCAAGAATCACTAGAATACTAAAATAGTTTTTTTCCATTAATTTTGGTTCCAATGCAATAAAATATCATGAATCAAATAGGCTTCCTAGTTCAAAATTTTTTGTCAGAATTTTTAGTGCATTGCTCGTGTCCCTATCTTAGATAAACATAAATCAAAGTCAATAAACAGCAAAATTTGGGTATACTTACCAGTATGAAATTAGTAACAATTGTAGAAACAAAAGACACATTTCTGTTGAACAATTTGCAGTGAACTGGCATTACAAATAGTTATTTAATCCACATTTCATGCGTTATTTGAAACGTGACACCGATGACACACTACGGAATCATCCAACCAGTATCGTGGTCATATGAGTCATGACTAGTTTTGCTACTGGCAAAAAAATTTAAAAGGGGCTTTTGGCTAGGAGAGGGGAGATTTGGAGCTTGAAAAGAGCAATTGAGTCGAGATGGATTAAGTATTATTGTGTCGGTCCAAAACTTTTGTCAGTTCAAAGTGACTATCGAAACCCGTACAGTAGAGACAAACAGACATTCAAGATGTATCCTATACAGAATTTTCTTCTCTTTCCTGATGCCAAATTTACAATTTTTTTCAACAAGAAGGTGCTGAGATAATCGCTGGAAAGTACAATCCTTCGTTTCTACTGTGTTTGGTTTCGCTTATTTTTCAATTTTCACCTGAGACTTTTGTGAAAGCTATGACCAGCAGATAGCACGAACCTTTTGCTAACAGAAACAATTGTTTGTAGCTTTATGGCTTGTCTTTCAAAATTCCTAAAATACATTTTTGAAGTAAGCGAATTCTCGATTCGGTCTATCCTAAAGTCGAACATAAACTGGTAGACAATCCAGGTATCATTTGGTGCAACTTTTTCTCCTCTTACTAACAAATGTCTTTTTTATAAAAAAAAGGCGGAAAATTTTCGGGGTCGCAGTATTTCCCAATTTCACGAGTGCGCAGTGACGCACCTTGAGTTTCAAATCTTAACATTAGCTCAATGCGAAAATAATGAGAGTTTAAGTTTTTACTTTGACGTACTACCTTATTTATAAACCTGAATGTGTGTATGTCTGTCTGTCTGTGTGTACATATGTGCGGAATAGAAAATTTTATTTCTGAACCGATCGGACCAAACTTGGCACACATACACTTCGGGGCCCGTAGGAAACCCCTCTTGGTTGTCACAACATAGAGGGACTATGTCGTGATAGCTCGGAGTATCTCGCAAGACTATAGCGAGCTATCCGCAGGAGCCGCAAAACTAACGCATAAACACGGGATCGAACCACCGATAACCGCGGCAGCAGCGCCCATACTCTCTGCGCTATAAGTACCAACTTCACTTTGTTTTACTAGGAGAGGAAGAACGCGCGTAGCAAATAAAGCTGTTGTAGCAAAATCAGTACGGGCACGCGACATGAAGTTTTACTTGCAATATTCCCAATCCGTAATATTAGTATTGTAGAAGTAATTACTGCTCTCGCAATAAGTGTAAAATTGCACATATAAAGCATCTGAAGATAACGAGTAGATAGCGCAGTGCCAGTGAGAGGCCAGCGTGCCCAAGGGGGGAGGGTTCAAATTCTGCTACGATGCCGCCTTTTGCAATTTGCTAATAATTGAATTTTCATGCAAATAAACTCATGTTAGGGAATTTCCTGGTAGTAAAGAGGAAATGGCATTCAGAACAGTCAATGTTGGAAGTGCATAAGAAAAATGAAAATATCATCAAATATTTACTACTTTAGTCTGTTCAAAAATTTGCTATTCCCTTAGCCATAGCACCAGGCGGTCCCTTCTCTCAAAAACAGAAGGGAAGCGAGAGGTGTACGGCTAACAAACAGCAATTCAAGCAAAAATATGTGTTTAAAAATGCTAGGATAAAAGAAGAGATAAGAATTTGAGGAATTTTGGCACGAAAAAGAGATTTGGTGCGCGCATGAGGCGCATTGTGAAAGTAAAAAAAAAAGAAAAATAGCATAAGCACGAATTAGCAAGCAGAAAATATGACCGAATTTACATTTACGTCGAAAGCAACTCACCTTTTTCTGAATAACAGGGTGTACAAAGCAGAAGTATCTAGCAAATGGAAGCGCCACATAGCTCGGACAGTTAGGCGCTATCAGCTGCTGATATTGATTGCAGTTGACGTGCGTTTTAGAGATCAGTGTGCATGTGCGACCTATTGCGAGGTTGGCGTACTCGAGCTCTAGTCTCGCGCTATGTCTCTGCGTCTCCATGCTAGACAAAGTATTTCGCATTCTCGTTCATCACGACATGTCGCAATATGTCGCTATATGTCGCTATATGTCGCGACATATAGCGACAAAGTGGGACTACCCTGGCGCTTCGCATTGATTGCGACCGCCGGCAATGATAAAGGATAGCCGCCTTGCCTGCCTCGCTCCATGGTAGTCAGCACATGTCACAGCACACTCCGAGCTATACGTCAGCACATACGGGGGTTTACTACAAGCCCGGGGCCGGGCGGGTGTCATAGGCTACTTTTCGTCATCGATCGGTATCAATTTTATCGATTTTTATCGATTTTCTGCATAGTTTGACCTACGGGGTCGAGAGTTGGCACGGGGGGAGTTTTTGAAATTATCAATTACTTTATCGATTTTGTCAATTTTTGCAAACTTTGAGTTGGGCTGGGAGTTGGCACAGGAGGGTAAATGAGCATGCTGATTACGAATACAATATTAGTTTTTGGTATTACCTATTACTTTTATAGATTTTATCGATTTTTATCGATTTTTTGCGAAGTTCGAGCTACAGGGCTGGGAGCTGGCACGAGGGGGTAAATGAGCATGCTGATTACGAATACAATATTAGTTTTTGGTATTACCTGTTACTTTTATCGATTTTGTCGATTTTTCAAAATTTGAGCTGAAGGGCTGGGAGTTAGCACAGAGGATAAGTTTGAGTTGAATGGCTGGGAGTTGGCACAGAAGGGTAAGTGAGCATGCTGATTTCGAAAACAACACAGGAAACGGGAAAAGAAGTGAGAAGTGGGAAAGGCTTTACAGGGGTTAGGATGGGACATTTATTATAGTGTTTTGACAGGGCCGAGCGGAACCGGGTATGCAAGCTAGTAGTTCCCTAAAAAAATCTACTTTTCTCAATGCTATAGAGGCCATCAGAAGCAAAAAGCTCTGCAATACAGTGCTAATTACCTATTTATCTACTTAATTCCATAAACGAGCACAAAAAATATGGTTTGGAAATCAAAAAAGTTTTTTTCTGAAACTCGTTTTTGCGATTCATAATTCCCTTTAAAGTTTGTTAGTATATATAATGAATATCCCATCTTGTAGCCGCAAGCCAATGGTACAAATAAGATGAAAAGGGTTTAGACGAAAAGATCTGTAAAAAGATCAAAAAGCAAAATTGTCACTTTTTTCCAAATTTTTCATGGGCCTTAAAGTCCAGATTATGGAGATTTGACTTTCTGCATACTCAGCAATCAAACATTTTGCAAAAAGCTGTAAGAAGGAGGTTCCACTCTCACGCTTACAGAATTGAGAAAAGTTTGGCAATTGGTTTCTTTGATAAAATTCCATGGACCACAAAATAAATGCAACGACTACCCACGTTGAGGTCTGTCGATAACTAAGCTTGAGCGATCTTAGAAAATATCGTTGTGTCGAGTGTACACAATCTGCACCACATGCAGCTGAATTTTCGAATGAATGCCATTATTCGCGCACGAATTTTGGCTAGCAATGTGATGAAATCCTGGTCTTGAGTGCCGTTCTGTAAACTTCAACAAATTTTTAACATACGAGGCTAGATGCTTGTTTTAGAAATTGTTAGAAAGAGCTTGAAAAGACTTTTCAAAATTATGCTAAATTGGCTTCAAGGAAGGAAGTTGATGGCAGAAAGTTGCCCTGAAACAAGGCCTGCAAAAACGCTCATTACTTTTGCACCAACCTAATATTTTAAAACGAACATGGCTCATTTACTTTGTGAAGTTAGTAGTAGTCTTATTTAAGACTAGCGGCCCAATGACTTCTAGGCGCAAAATCACCTCAAAAGCTTTCAATAATGTCATACTGTCTGCTTCAATCCCGACCAGGCCAAAATTGGCATGGCGAAAGTCCGCGTCGCTAGGGTTTTGTGGTCACGCCCACAACCTGCTTTTTTGCTTTCTCTGCAATCCTTTTGCTCTCTCCGAAAGCGCGCATATGCAGCGCAGATTGATAGCGCAGCGAGCGGCGAATTTACGCCGACGGTTCGGCCTAATCCCGATTTGAGCAGATTGTACATTCGATTGGAAAACAAGATTCAAGAGTATTTTCATGGACAAGGATATTATGGGCCAAAGCATGTATTTTCTCAAAAGTTAACAAAATGTTTTAAGGTTCTAAAAGAGGTAAACATTCTGAAGCCACTTTTGTGTTTGGATGCCGAAGCCTGCCTAACTATTGTAGATATTGAGAGATTATCTTCCCTGTATAGGGAAGATAATCTTTCAATATCTACAATAGCCGCGCGCACACTTGTAAGTCCGGTAACCTGCGGAGGTGACGTTATAAGGCCAGAATCCCTTTTCCTGAGTCTTTGCTTCACAGGGTGGCCGAACAACATCTAGTTACAGTGTCTAGTACAATCTTGAGTCATAAATGGGCTCTATAGTAGTAAAAATCGCTTGAGGAGGCCCATTTTAATGAGAGCAAAGCTTCTTAATGAGCTTTCAATCAGCAATGCGACGCAATCAGTCAGCATCGTTTTCAGAGCATTGTAATCTGTTTTAGGTTATGATGTTAAGACATGGTTGTGTTGCACCTATGCTGTACAAAACTGAAACAAACGTCATTATAATTTTTTCTGATTAGGAAAATTGTTGGAACACATTTTCTCACAAAGCAATTTCTGATTAAGTTAAATCAGAGCTAGAGATAAGCTATTGAAGCCTATTTATTTGCGTGCGCAGGAGCCCATTTTCTTTGAGTGCATGTTAGGATTTTTCCGCTTTTTACGGGCAAATAATAACCATCCCTAGTTGTTTATATTATGTCGTTCCGAAAGTAATGTCGCTTTTTTCAAATAAACGCCACATTTCAAGGAATCAATAATTTCAAGAGATCTTAGGGGCCGATGCAGCATTTCACCCTCTTTCTAATGGTTGTGATTGCATTGCGTATTATTCAATGAGCTTTCGAAAAATTACCAAAATCTGCGACTCATGCTTTTTGCCATGGTCAAGTTCGGCTACTTTTTAAATTTTTGTACCTATTCTCCAAAGAAGTTCAAG